AATTGTTTTCAGATGCTGACACTGATTCCTAATACATACAGTCTCATTTAGATAACCTGTCTTTCATCAGGGGCATTTCAAGTATTTCTCATTTTGGAGGTTATTTTATTTATTTTTACTATGATAAACATCATTTTACATATTTGGGGGTGTATGTGTTAGAATTTTCTTAGGGTAAATTCCTAGGTGCAGAATTATTAGGTCAAATGTACATGCATTTAGAATTTTGAGAGACACTGACAATTCTTTCTAAAAGTACTTTACCAGTTTACTAATTTTCCTCACATCTTGGTTGTAGCAGGGTATGCACTGCCTTTTTGGTCAGGCGGTGGGATGGATGAGACGCATCTCACTGTGGTTTTCATCTTCTTGCAAAATTGGAAGTAACAATCAAACCCTGTTTTCATAAACCTCTCCCCACCTGTGAGTTGCCTTTTTTCTTTTCTGTCCTATTTTGTTTCTTTTCTATTTTTTTTAAGTTGAATTACTTCTTTTTTTTTAAAGATTTTATTTTTTTATTTGACAGAGAGAGACACAGCAAGAGAGGGAACACAAGCAGGGGGAGTGGGAGAGGGAGAAGCAGGCTTCCCGCTGAGCAGGGAGCCCAATGCAGGGCTCGATCCCAGGACCCTGGGACCATGACCTGAGCCGAAGGCAGACGCTTAAGGACTGAGCCACCCAGGCGCCCACTTCTTCATTTTTTATTAGTTTTTATGGATTATTTTTAAGGATCATAATTTTTGTCATTTGCATTCAAGAATTTCCCTTAACTTGTCATTTGACTCCATGGTACTTTTCACCATACTCAATGTCGAATTTACCCAATTTTATCAATCCATTTCTTCATGGCTTCCTGATTTTGTTCTTTGTTTGTAAGTGTCTACTCTACACCAAGATTACAAATATATATTTTATTTAATCTTTTTACTTTTTTTGTGATTCTTTGTTGCTGTTGGACTTATTTTGGGGAACAGAATGAAGAAGAAAACTAGATTTGTTTTTTCCAAAGAGCTGACCTGTTTTCTCAAGATCATTTATTGGATGATTCCCTTTTTTCCTCCTAACTGAAAAACCTCCTCCGATGTCAACTACATTTTCATACTATTGTAGGTGTGTATTCTGTTTAATTGATTTGTCTGTAGAAATTCAGCAAGTTTTAATTGTGAATAAAACAGTCTAATACAATTCTCCTACTTTAGAGCTTCAGCGTTTCCTTCACGTACAGTGCTGAGGGAGAAACTGCATTTTCTCAGCATTAGCCTAGCACGTGTTCTTTCCTTCCTTACAAAGGCAATACAAGCGTTAGATGAATTTCCCCATGTATAATGATTTACAGAGCTGGCCGGGAGAGATCCAGGCCCCAGGAGTGCTCCTTTGCAAAGTTTGGAGGGCACTGGCCTTTTTCTGTACGCCTGGTTAATAATGCACCCAGCTGACATCCCTGTGGTTACTGTGGGCAGGGTACACTGGACATTTGATGAGGCTCCAAATAAATATTCTTGGTTCAATAAAGAACAGCTTTAATAAGCAGACAGCATTAATCTTCCATGATTTATCTAACCTTTTAAGTAAGCCGGCAAACTAATGATGCAGCAAGATAATAGAGTTACTTTTTCTGTATTTTTCAGTATCTGTTGAATGTAAGGGAAATCAAAACATCAGTCTTCATCAGTTCTTATATTCTCTGCATTTAATGAAATTGGGGATTGACTACTTTGTTAATGAAAACTAGGAATCCCTCCAGCTGCATCAGATCCCTCTTGCCTGAGGATCCGGTCCTCTCAGCCCCAGGCACCGTAATGGAGCCTGGACCTGGGGGAGAAAGCAGAAGTCACTTCTGAACTGGAACAGCTGTCAGAGGGCGCAAGTGTTTTAGGGCAGAAGCAGATCGTTTTGCATGTTTTCTGTGGGTCATGCTTTTGAAATACGTTCGTTGTTAAGTCCTACAAACTCGTGACAGGCAACGAGCTTTATCTCCAGTTCCTCCAGGACAACATAGCACAGATAGGCTGAGTAAACTGTCGAAGGTCAGACAGGTAGCTTTGCTGGATTTGGGTGCGCATGCTTGGGCGTCGGACTCCTCGGCCGCTCTCTGAGTCAGCGGGGCCTCCAGTGAGGTGTGCCGATTGATACCGACTCCACGTTCTCAAGGAGCTCGTGGTCTTCCCAGGGGTGATTAGAAAGGCAAGGAGTAGTTTACATATCAGAAAAGGTTTTTTTAAGGTGAGAAAAGAATTCTTTTTTTTTTTTTTTTTTACGTTTAATACTTGAACTGGTTACTTTCAAAGGTGGAAAACCTCTTTGGGTGGTGTTATTACGCAAGGGTGAGCGCATGTGACTGCTCATGTTATTCCAGGGTTAGTTTAAATGCAAAAAGGACGAAACCTCGCTGGCCCTAGCTGTCACGTCCTTTCACGCTTGTCTGTTCCTTGATAGAACTGTGAACTTTCCAGCGAGGTCGTACGGAGTTGCGCTGGTAGTGTTCTAGAGGACACAGAGATTCCCAGGTTACTCATGTAGAGCACTGCGCCAGGGGCGCCTCCTCCCCCTCTGCGATGCAGGCCGTAAATCCCAGGTATTCAGCCTTTCCATGGCCAGGTGGCACTTGGGCCCTGGGAGGTCTGCCCCCCCTGGTGCTGATGACTTCCTTGATGACTGGCCACGTTTACCCTCAGGAACTCCGGGGCCAATGCTTAATCTCTGATCGTCTGATAAACGTCTTCACTCCCACCCCCAACCCTCTTGTTCCTGAATGTTGTGTTTGTCCCTGTCCCGAGATCTAAGAAGTGCCTTCCCAAGCCTGTCATCCCACCGTGTGCAGATATTCAGACTCACATGGGGTGGCCCAGCCCGACACAGAATCTCATCCTGGCGGGCAGGAACACACAGCAACCCCCACCCCCCCACCCCGCCACCAAGTGAGAGTCAGACTCAGGCTCCGAAATCAGAGGCACACTTAGAACTGGTGCGCATGCATCAGCCTCTGTGAGTCACTAGGTGTCTTGCTCAGTGTCATCAATTACCAAAGTGACTTTGGGGAAAATCAGCAGGATTGTAATACTGGTAGTTCAGGACCAGAGAGGTCTAAGTGACTGCGGGATAGTTGTGCAGAAGCAACTAATTGAATTCTCCAATTATGGCAATATGGAGTAACATTTACAAAGAGTTTTAATAATCGTCTGTAATCCCATAATCCAGCAATGCTCCTGACATTACTTATGTGAGAATACAATGGATTCTAAAAGCTTGAAGGGGATGCAAGCCGGTCTCTCTCGCAGCCTTTGCCCCAAAGACCGCCGCCCACCGCCATCGGCAACTGCCCTCACTTACCCCAGGAAGGTTCTCTAAGTGCAGATCATGCTTTTCAAAATGGAAACAGTTGGGATCACACTGCCTATTATACACTTTAAAAATTAATCCCTTTTGGAAACCCTTATAATAAAAACCATCAATGGGCAGATTCTGAGCCTATTCTGATTTTGTTGGAATCCCTACGCTCCACTTCCTAGCCAGGTCACCTTGGAAACAGAAGTGAATCACTGCACCTTTCTTTCTTTCTTTTTTTTTCTATTTTGCTTAGAAATCATACTACAAAAAAATCTTTAAAAATTACCATTACTAGGGCGCCTGGGTGGCTCAGTTGTTAAGTGTCTGCCTTCGGCTCAGGTCATGGTCCCGGGGTCCTGGGATCGAGTCCCACATCAGGCTCCCTGCTCAGCGGGAAGCCTGCTTCCCCTCTCCCACTCCCCCTGCTTGTGTTCCCTCTCTCGTTGTCTCTCTCTTTCTATCAAATAAATAAATAAAATCTTAAAAAAAAAGTATCCTTTAAAAACATTACCCTGAATTAATTGGTAAACATTTTAATGATTTATTTTTATTAGTTTTATTTGTACATTTATGTTACTGCACACAATGCTGCCACATACAGTCATACTTATTGGACAGTGTTGGAGAAGCACCTACAAGAAGCACTTGGTAAGAATTCCAGAAAGCTGAATCCTTAGAACTTATATATTTGAAGAGTACACAACATTAAACAGATCAGATAATTGTGTGCAGCTGATAATCATAATTATTTTGTCTCGAGTTCCTGCAACTTGGGGCAACATCGTCTGTATGATCGATACCTCACTGGAATCTCTGACTGCAGTTCTGTGATTCTGTATTAGTCTCCTCTTGAGGGTGAGGAAATAGAAAGGTGCAGCGCGGGGCGCCTGGGTGGCTCAGTCATTAAGCGTCTGCCTTCGGCTCAGGTCATGGTTCCAGGGTCCTGGGATCGAGTCCCGCATCGGGCTCCCCTGCTTCCCCTCTCCCACTCTCCCTGCTGTGTTCCCTCTCTCGCTGTCTCTCTCTTTCTATCAAATAAATAAATAAAATCTTTGTCACTTCAAAAGGTAAAAAGCAGTCCCTCAATTTTGCCTTCTTTAAGATTGTTTTAGTGTTCTTTATGCTACGTTTGCTCTGCAGACATTTTTAGTGTTTTTATGAGTTAGTTTTTTTCCTGTTTCCATGATACCTTGCTGAGAAAGACTTTCCTGATATCCTCAGTAAATTCTCTTGTGCTTTCTTCTCGGTTATTCTTAAGTTACACTTTTATATCAAGTGTCGCAAAATATTCAAGTTTGAAAGGAGTTGCACAAATGACTCTGTTAGGATTGAAATGTTCTCTTCCTGTGTGGGGCTTCCCGTGTACCCCCCCTAACATCTGAGTCTGTGTAGGTGAGCTTTCTCCTCCATCATGTGGTCTGAATCCCCCCGTTAGTATATTGGGAGCTCCCTCTGTTCCTGGCATCACGTCGTGGAACACCTGCGCACAGATCTTCCTGAGTGGATGCAGATGGGAAGGCTCAGCGATGGGTCTTCTCCATCCTCATCCCCAGCCCAGGTGTTGGAGGGAAGAGCGTGCTTGTGAAGGAGTGAGAAAGAGGTGATGCTGGGAGAGGGGGCGTCCTCTGGTCAGATGATATAAATGCACTTTATCTTTTTCTCTCTGTTTCCAGTCTGGCATGATAAGAACACAAGAAGCAGATTACTTCCTAAAGCCGCTTCCTTCACACCTGGCGGGGAGACTGCAGGACCCCGCCGGGGCTGGGCCCCCCTCCCACATACTGTACAAGAGATCAGCAGAAGTGCGGGCTCCGGGGGCTCCCCAGGCTGTCATGACCGAGAGGGATCGGGAGCTGGGGAATCCACACCTGCGAGGCGGCTTCAACCTCCGGCACCCACCAAAGCAACATTTCTGTGGAAGACGCAAGAAATGTATGTAAGGGCGATTCCTTTTGTGCATTTACCCATTCGGACCTTTATGTAAGCCCGTGGAATGTTTTAAATATTCTTCGGAATAGTCTGTCTATGAGGTGGGATTAACAGACCGTCTGCTAAACTTACACGATGATTCCATCGTCTGTGTGTTCACTATGCATCGTCTCTCATGGTGGATGGACAGATCATGGTAGGTTTTTTGTTTAAAAGAACCGTTCCCTGGGCAGATGAAATGACATACTGCCCAGAAATGCAGAATCCACTGGATGTCTTCAAAAGAACCTGGCATGTCTGCTCAGTAATTCTATCGTTTTGAGGTCTAGATTTATGAAAGCCCACATAGTTTTCTGCAAGGTAATTTATCTCCATACATATTTATATTCTCTACTCCACCACATCAAAAGGACAGGCTAGGCATGACCTGATTTGCCCACAATTTATCACCAGCGCTTTGTGGAAGTCCTTTGTTATGTAGTGAACACTCAGGAGGTGATGTGATAGTCACATTTTATGTGGGAGTCTCTCACAGTTCAGGAATGGGAGGTCAGTGTTTTCTGGAATTTCCCTCGCGTCCCTCAGCTTCCCCTCCAGCACCCCTGGATGCATTAAGCTTCCCCCCATGAACCCATCTTCTGCCAGCCCTTCTTCCCCGCTGGTTTCGCTGGCTGCTGGAGCCAGCACCCCAAAATGGAGACGGTCATGTTGCAGGTGGAATAGAGCGAATGACGGCGATAAGAGCAGCAAGTACTACTAAACTGTCAGCACCCGTGTGTCGTCTGAACGCAGAGTGTCCTGTAGATAAAACCTTGCGCTACATTCACGTGAAAAACTCAAACCCAGATCGACTAAGTCGGGGTTCGGTCAGCGGCAGGAAGAACGGGCGGGAGCAAATGGAGGGGAACAGGAGTCTGAAGCGTCAGGGAGACAGAGTTGGAACGAGTATCGGAACAGGGTATCAGCATCAGCATCGGCTGCCTGGGGCCGCCTGGACGGACTGCAGCAGAGGGGTCGGCTGTGTGGGCCGGGGCCGGGCAGTCATAATCAGAGGTGAGACGGAAAGGGTCACAAAGCGCCTCTTGGAAGACATTAGTGATCCAGATGGTGGGGTTTGGTTTGCCAGAGATTTCTGTCCCTTCCCTGCTCGGCACACCGCAGTTCTGTGCGTGGCCAGGAGCCATGTGACTGGCAAAGTGGCGCTCGCTGCTTCCAGGCTGAAGCCTGTCATTCTTGAGACCTCCGCTCTCTGTGCGTGGATGTTTCGATGTTGTTCACGGGGCTGTGCGCTTCCCTGCAGGAATCCCACCCTTCTGCCTCTGTGGGGCTCCCACGTACAAAGATTCTTCCCACTGGAGTCTCTGGTTTAGAAAATGGGCATTTTGGGGTGTATGTTTAGGCACCTGTGGGAAGGGGTCATCAAAGGCAGACTGATTTGCTTAAAATCAAGGATGAAGCTGAACCACAAGCTCAGGGACCATGCTGCCAGATTGGACACCCACTTCTGACACTTTCTAGGGAGGGATTGTGAGCAAGTGACGTTCCCTCCCTGTGCCTCTGTGGCCCCATCTGTGCCTGGAGCAGGCGTAGAGATGGCTCTTATTATCAAGGTCTGTGGCACGCGATGAGTGTTTTAATTACTTGGCCAGAGCCGTGATTATCTTCCACGGGGTTCGTTTAGGTTTGAGAATATTTTAGCAAAGAGATAAAATGCACCGGATGTGGGTGCCAGTCAAACAAAATAGCATCTTCTAGCTGCACGGGCTGTGAATAGAGTTGGCATAGCTCTGAATTAGTGCCACCTAGATCTATGGGCAATTTAAGGTCTACATTCACATGAAAAGCTTTTCTGAGGCATCACTCAACCTAATTTCCTTTAACACAGTGTTAACTTACCGATTATAAATGCCCAAACTATTTTTAAACGGCTCCAAGAGGACAGAGTATATTTTGTCTTGTAATTAAATGAGGTAAATATTTAGGGTGCTTTCTAGGAAATTCAGCTCTGCCATGAAGTGGATCTGTGTCACGTAGTTTGTAACCCATTTGAAACACGACAGGCAAACCAGTTATGCATCCAGACATGGGAATCAGTTTGAAGAAGAATCAAGCCATTAAAATCTTCCAAATAAGCGGGGCGCCTGGGTGGCTCAGATGGTTAAGCGTCTGCCTTCAGCTCAGGTCGTGATCCC